TCCAATTCTTTAATGAGCACAACTTAGAACAGGCTTGATTGCACAAGACATGAAAACATCAGTGAAGGTGGAAGAAGTGTATACCCCATCTACGTAAATGATACAGAAATTCCACCTTAGCAAGAGCTCAGGGCACCTGGAGGATAGGATACTACTTCTCATAATATAAAGGAAAATGGGAAAAGGAACTCCTTATTCATAACAAGTATGGGTATTAGATAGTAGACTGGTAAGGAAAATGGGGTATGAAGAGGCTACTAATGAGGGAAAAGGGATTGTCAAGTGTTGTTTTAGCAGAAAGACTTATCCCATTCACCCCGGATTTATGTCCTGTCCTCTGTAGTTTTTGGTGAATTTTGTTACATACAGATGGCTCCACACATGCTCAGCCGGCAAGGAGTCTATCAGTAGCCCCTAGTTACCGACCCTGATTTTCCCATTCACTGAATTGGGGGGAAAATTAATACCATTGCTATCGATACTGTTATTATTGTTACTGATGTTATGATTATTAAATAGCCATTAGAATATTTTAGACAATGAAAGGATACAAAAAACCCTTTCCTAAAGTGAAGGAAAAGGGTAAACAGGTGAAATAGGTAGCTCTTGACAACTGGCTGTTTGGTGATTAAGAACTTGTGGAGCCATCTATGTGTAAATACAATAAATAAACGTGTCTCAAAGTGGGTATGGCACCTATTCTTGCCACGTGTGGTGAATGGGTTAACAACATACGTAAAAAACAAACCTGCAGGATGACTCTTGATGGACGGAAAGGGACCTCCACACCCTTTGGGTCAGTCTGATTCTTCTCCCAGTTAAGGATACTTTCAACATCATTTTCCTTCACCTGTTGGAGAAATCATTTCAATTAGGAACATTTAATTCTCCTTGATCCATTTTTGTGGTACCAAGTGAAGAATAAGGTAAGTAACACTGACATTATTTCTGGGATATTACCTGCACAGATTGGTTAATTATTCAGGCATTTTGAGGCATGTTATTATACTAAATGGCATTAACCTACTGGATCCAGGTGCCTTGGATTATAAGGGTGTGTAGACTGTAGGTCTGGCCCACACAACCACTCATGTGTAGTATCAAAATTCCTTGCCTCTTCTCTGTATTGATATTATGTCCTCTTTTTGTATAAGCATTTTTTGTTGTTTGCCATATTCCATATTTGTATTTGTTACTCTATAACAAGATGGTGATGCACAGTTTTCCTTGATCGGACCAAAAATTATCTCTGTTGGTAGTCTACAACCTATCCAGTAATAAAAGCAATAAGTATCCATGTTATTTGTGTATTATTATTATATTTTTGTATTATGATTTTTTTGTAATGCATTCTACACTACTGGTCCACTGGTCATTTACCAATGGACATTTACCCAATGGATACGGGCAACGTGACCATCATGTCATGAAAAAATCCAGGTCAAGGGGTGGGTGGCGTGAACATGTCACGGATAAATATGGCTGTAGGCTGAGTGATACAAACATGCTGTTGTGAGCATTGTGGGTGAAGGCCAGGGTGATGTACAAACCTATTGGGAGGTCTCTCTTACTCATTTCATGATTTTTCACTATTCCCATCGATGTAAAAGTATGGAATGAAATGTTTGAGTGGTAATTGGAGGAGCGCCAGTTCCTTGGAGGACATCATTTCCACGCTCAGCTTCATATTCCTGGTACCATGAGCGGTAACACAGGTTGTATTCCAGAAAGTTGAATATTGCATAAAAATATGAAAATAAATACAAATAACATAGTGTTACATAGTTTTATTTTTGTTGCACTGAGTTGTAGACTACCTTAAAGATAATTGGAGTCAAATGGCAAAGATGGGCATCAGAAAATGGTCAAAAAAGCTAAAATGCTTAGGCATAAAAAGAGTAAATAACTTTGCAAACAGGAGGCACAGAGTCTTGCCATTGAGCACACGTGCTCACATGTCCCTGACCTACAAGCAGCCACCCAGCAGAATGGCCACTCACATAAGCCTAATGCCCAAATTTTGATTATTTGATTATCATGATGTAACTAGATCCAATGGGATAAGCATGAACCACTTTTCAAATGTTCACCAAGTCTAAGCAGTCCTCCAAGATCTTTTTGCATTCATGATGAGACATTCCATGACCCCAGCCCTCAGACAATTTTTCTTTTTGATGGCATGTTCCCATCATCTGGCCCTCTGACAATTTTTTCTCAGGACATGACAGCCACCTATATCCAATGGGTTAAGATATATTTCTTCAATTAAAAACCTAGGTAAAATGAAATAGCAGTAGACACCAGACTCCTGACAAAAGTGGGGCAAAGGCACTGTTTGAGATGAACTCTTTAGCTCATCACTAAATAATTTCAGCCAATCACTGGACCTCACTCTCTCTTTCATCCATCTCACTCGTCTTTATTTCCTTTTTGTCTTTCCATGCTCTTCCTTTTTGTTCTTTTACTCTTACCATGCTCTATCTCCATTACTGTGCTGATG